CTGGCGGATAAACGGACGTTTCTATTTGCGTTTGCAATTCAGTCCAATTGACCCTCTGCCTGAACCAGGCCAAGAGAAACAAGACCAAGAGTTGTGAGGGAAAGCTGTAAAAAAAAAGTGGTTCAAGCAGCGTGGACTAAAGACAACAGTGAGGACAGAGGAGAACATGTGAAAATCAGAGAATTACTGGAGGAGCGCGCTCAGTTTTATCAAACGTATTTTAATGTTTTAACAGTGATTCTCTAAGTCAAAGTTTGGTTTTTTTATCTATGAAACCCTGTAATAATTGACTTCCTGTACAAATAGCCTTGTTAAAATAATTAGCTCCCTGCGGCTAACACTGAGCTGTCCAAGTTATTGCTAATTGGCAGTAGTTTGGGTCACTTTTCAATCATTTTAGGCCATTCCATCTCGACTTTCCAATATCTTAAACTTTGAACACGGTCTTTAGTTCACTCTGCAAATGTTCTCATTTTATTCGTGACTTTGAGCAGAAGAGTCACTTTAATTCCCTCTGGTCTGGTATTTTATTTTATTTTTTTTCTGTTTTTCTTTTTTCTGTGGTTGCCGTGGAAGAAACAAAAACAGTGGAGACCCAGTTTAGCTGCTCACTCCTCATGGTTTTGTTTTGAAATCTTTTCATGTTTGGTTTTCTTCGTTATTCCTTCTTCCCTCACAACTTTCCTAGTTGTGGATGCAGTGAAAACCCTCGTAGCTTCACACGACTACCTTTAGTTTCATCCCTGAGTGGATGATATTGTTGTTGTTTGGTTTAGTTGAAACTCCAGATATACAGGCAACAACTCATTTTTTCCCCTTCCACTCTAAACTCAATTTTAATTCTAAGTCAAGTCAAAGCCCAAATCAAGTCTGTATTTGTGGTATTTTAGTGGAATACATTTGAATATTCTTTTTTTTTCATATAATTTGATTATTAAAAATATATTTAAAAACTTTTAGTAGAGCTATTAAGATCAGAAAGGCTGTATTTTAAACAAAAGTATTTAGAAATTAATTTAAAAAATAAATTAAAATTCCTACGTTCCTAAAGGCTGTAGTTTTGCCTCCGAGCTACGAAACCTTAGACCCAGTGATATCAGAACTGTACTGCTGCTGATAGCACCGTCCAGCTGTGGTTGCCCTGTAGTTGTAGATGACAGTCGCACTAATCATCAGAGACTCAGAGGCCTAACACACACACACACACACACACACACTTGTACACACACAGGATATCTGCATCAATCAGCCAGACAGCGCAGGGACCCGGCAGCTCCCAGCTCAGCTTCATCCTCTGCACATCTCATTTACAGATGGAACATCAGGACTGTCCCCTGCTCTTCTGCTCTTTTTTCTTTTTTACTGCCTATATCAAAGGCACCTGTACACAAGACGTGTACGCCAAATATATAGGTTCCCCCTGCGTGGATGTGTTTAAAAAAAAAAAAAAAGTCTAAACTGATGATATATGTGGATGATAAATGAAAAGCTTGGCCTGCCATCAAAGAGTAGGACGCTGTGTCCCACGGTATATCACTGCGGGGACAGAGAGAAGGGACAGCAAAACAGATACAGGGTGGAATACACCGGAACACGCTGTAGCTGAAAAACAGATCTTGTCCTGAAGGAAAAATGTCCTTTGACTCTCACTGAACACATATTTAAGTCTCCAGAAAAAATATCGAGACACTAGAAAAAAATAGTTTGTTACAAATCAGCAAAAAAAAAAAACCCAAAAAGTCCTCGGTTACATTACATTACAAAACATGGGTATTCTTCCGAGTGCGCCGACAGTGAAGCCCCCTGTGATGAAATGGTTACACACATAATAAGAGGAAATGAGTGTATACTTTTCCCACTTTCACTCTCTACCACGTTGGAAATGGATGTAACCGAAGCAGCCGCTGTAAAGCAGGGCTGACAGCTGTGATGAACCTCAATGACCATAAAAACATACAAAGTGAGAGAGAGCAGGACAACGACTCTGGTTTCACCTTCACAATGGTTTCCTCTCTGTAATCACCCGCACCCACACTGCCCTTCAGCTCACTTAGAGCCAGCGTACCAATACTTTTCCAGGCAAAGTGAAATCCTCAGGTTCTGCCAATCAGAGTTAATGTTTAAATGCCACATGACCTCAGGATACCCCGTCTCCCTCTCTCTTTCTCCAAGGTGAAGATATTGACTTTTTTACGCCGACTTTCAACCATCCACGTATGACGGCGGGCCGTGTTCTAACCTCAGAACCAGAGGTTTGATACTAGCCGTGTGTCAGTGCAACATTAAGTGTAAAAACGTTCTACTATTGAGTAGAAGTGGAAAAAGAAATCCCTCGTAGTGTATGAAGAAGGAATATTTAATCTAAAAAATTAATTCCTGTCGGTGAATTAACTATCAAGCACAGAACTTTAAGCAAGGACAAAAATTTAAAATACATTTTATTTATTTATGCTTTTGCCATAGAGTTTTGTTGTTTTATATATAAAAAAATTATATGAGTAACTTTTATCATTTCCTATAATTCAAATCTGTATCGTACGCAGTAGAAATGACTAGGTAATAAGAGTAGTCATAAAGAGCATCGGGATAAATTCCTTTAACTTACAAATGATAATCAAAATAATTTAAAAATGAACACATTTGGCTTCATCGATGAGGTGATGAAGATGAAAATGTTTAGATTTTCTTTTATTATGACTTTGCAAGACTTATCTATGACTTTTTTGCCTGGTAGTTTACGCAGACTTTACATCCTGGATTTGTGGCCCTGTGCAGCACATCATTATTTCTAGCCTTTTTATTTTTTTATTTTTTTTATTAAAGTCTTGTAAGTTTCTCAAGTACTTTATGATAATGAAGTATTTTTCTTCTCTTTTTTAAACAAACTAACAGAAGGGAGCACACCTGTTGGCCGACAGTCACGGTGTTGTGAAAGCAGCAGAGCTGCAGCTGTGTTGAGTGGCACGTGCAGTGACACCCACACAGCCACAGCATTAGGACATTAGGACATTAGGACATTAGGACATTAGGACATTACTGCATTGGTGGACTTTGGTCGGTTCGGTACGCAGTATGTTGTCTTCTACCATATCTGTGAGCCTGAGAGGATAGAACACCAACGACGAACCTGTTTCACAAGTTATTTTCTGGTTTGTTTGTTTTTATTTTATTTTTGTTTTTTTAAACTCAAACCCTCTTTTTACAGAACGTTCTAGACCCTCTCCAAACATATCTGCTCTCACCATCCTGGTGCCGTTTTTGCAACAACAGTAAAAATGATTTGACGTACACAGCATCACAGTGGACAGAAAATGGTGTGACTTTTCATGGAGCTCATAAAAACTGCATTAGACTGACTGACGCTAAGTAAGATAGATTTAGTCAGTGTTGAGATTTTTTTTTTTTATTATTTTTGTTTTAACGTGAGAAAAGGCTAACGTCCTTCTCTGCCCAGCATGTATTTACAGGTCATAGAGACCAGAGCAGCGGTGAGCTGACAGCAGCAGATAGTATTACACCGCTCCTACTGACAGCTCTGACCTCCACCAGGACGATCGATATGCAGAGAGTTGAAGGGAAGGGGCAGAGTAAGAGTTAAAGAGGAGAGAAAAAAAAATGAAACAGAATATGAGGTGTGAATAAATAAATAGGGAAATAAAAAAATGAAAAAAAGAAAAGGTGACGGAGGCAGCGACAGGTACCAGATCAGTGATCTCACAGCTGAGGGAGTCTGGGGTCAGACAGTCTAAGCTTTCACCCACAGAGGTCCAGAGGGGGATGGGGAAAGTGGGCGACACACTGCTGAGACTCGGGTTATCCCCCAGCTGAAGGGTCTCTGGGTTTAGACATCGAGGAGGGTATTAGCTTTCACACACTGCTGTGGTAACGGGGGAGTCTGCCAGATGTCAGCTCCTCACCCATAAATCCTACTAAATGGGGCAGCGGCTCTGGGTTAGAGGGGGAAGGTTGAGTGGACGTCACCCCTCGATCATCTGCTGCGGTGTTTGTTGAGGTCAGACTCAGAGAATTGTGATTATAGTCAGCTGATGTCAGCCCGTAGTCAGTGAGTTTCCTGGGCTGTGAGTGTTCCTAATTAAGTCGATTTCCTGGTCGGAATCAGTTAAATTTGAGATGAAACGTTGACGAGATCAACTTTTCCTCTATTAAGGTGTGGACTGACAGTGGAAAAAGTTCTGTCACTGAAAAGAGAAAAAATCTCAGCCTTTTTTTTTCTTTCTTTCTTTATTTGATGTTTTCCTAAATGAAAGTTTTGGTAACTATCTCGTGTTTAGGTTTCGCTGGTGTAAGTCCAGAGATAAATACTGTACTTTAGGTTGTGGCTTGACGTTCCAGTGGAATTGAACCTATTGCCAGTTACCAGCGCGTTTATCTCCAGCCCGTTGTTTAGAGTTAAGATTGAAACCTTCTCGTATTCAGGCTGACGTCAATACTTTCATGAAATTATACAGATGGTTTTGGATGGATTTCAGGAGCTCCCAATCATAAATCTAACTCGCTGCATAAATATTTTTGCAAACATTAAATTCACATTTGCTGTATATATATATATATATATAAAATGGTGCTCAGACTTTTCCCAGCTCCAGTGCTGCGTTCAGTGAACTTCAATTCCCACCTCAAACCTTCCAGGCCACCTGCTCGGGCCACACTAACCCCCCACAGCAGAATAACACTCACTCATTCACCCCAAAAGAGAACTTTAAAGCGGCTGCTGCGTTTTAAAATCCCCGAGGGCCAGTCTGCTTCATAGACACGGTCACTGATCCCAGGTCAGCTTTAAACACCAAATTGACCTGAAAATTTCCCACAGCGAAGCTTCGGTGTGTTGTCCTTCAACCTCGTCTGTGTGTCAATTATTAGTATTACTTTGTTTTTTAAGTTTCCAATTATTTTGACCTAGTTTTCGTTACCGGATCTCACAGGTTTTTTTCCACAGTTGCACTCGGTTTTCCACTTTAACTGACAATTGTTTTGCTCACCATTTTCCTCTGGTTGCTGAGGCAGAAAGTACAGATGTGCTTTGGCTGAGACGATTGGTCGGATCCTCGGCTGGGGGAGGAGTTGACATGGAAGAACGGAGGTGATGGAGCGTGGCACGGTTGTCCGTCGTGGAGACCTTCGCCCAGGAGCAGGACGTTTCCCAGATGACTGATGTAGCTGCTGGCCAGACGTAGTGTCTCGATCTTTGACAGCTTCCTGTCAAAACAAATCACAGACAAGAGATTCACTGAGTAATTGAAGAAAGAAGTGAAGTCATAAAAGAGTGGACAGGCATCAGCAGTAGATAATCACAATCCTGCTGATTTTGAACACTACCGCAGTAAATCATCATCTCGACTCTTACATCAGGCCTCACTTTGCACATATTCAAGTCATCATGTGGAAACAATTTTCTTATCTTTACATCAAATCATCAGTGTCCACACAGTTTGGCAGCAGTCGCTCTGTACCTGTCTGCAGGCTCGGTGGGGATCAGCGTGCGCAGCGCCGTGAACGCCGTGTTAACAGAATTGGTGCGATCTCTCTCCCGCGCATTGGCGGCGGTCCTTTGGCGGACCTCCCCAGGGTGGTTGGTGCCTGGAGGGGCCAGCCTGCCCAACATGCCGGTACCTACAGTTATCCCTCCGCCTCCTCCTACCCCGCCACACAGCTTCCTCTTCCTGTTCACCTTGATGTGAAAAGCAGACGGGGACGAGGAGGACAGACGGAAGGCGGCCGAGTTGTTGGTCCGCTCGTCGGAACCTGAGCCCTCGCTTCCGTTTTCGTCGTCGTCTTCGGAGAGGAGCGCAATGTCCCCGTATAGGAAGCGGCCTGCGGGAGGCGCTGTGCGAAGCATGGCGAATGTCATCGTGATTTCAGCAAGTGGGGTCAGGTTGGACTTCCAATCCAAATCTTCCCACAAAGATGATTCAGAGAATTAGCTGACGACCCCTAAAAGTTTCCACTGAGAGTGTCACTTCAGACCCGGCGTGTCTAATCTGTGGAGATGAGATGTCACAGCTGAAGAATTCTCAGTTCAGGAGGTCAGCAAAGTGGAATCTGAGTCAGCAAAGAGTGACTCAACCCTGGAGCTGCCGTCTCACAGGTGTCTGCAGGTTCCACGTCCTTCTTCTGTTTGTGTCTTAAAGACACTTCAAATCCCCAGCGTCAGTAACTCCCTCAGTTGGTCCTTTGACAGAAGTCTCATTTAAAATAACACGTTAGAGTCATGTGGGTTTTCTAAATTTCCCTCCTTTCCTTTCTTCACTCAAACGTCTCTGCCGCTCCTTTGTGTCTAATTTGGTCTGTTTTGAGTCCAGTTGCAGGAACTACTCCCAGTCTGTGGCTGCAGCTTGACTTTTTACTGCTCTGTCCCTCTCAGCCTTATTTCCTCTCTGCTGCCTTGCTCCACGTGTGCCTGCTGTCTGAGTGTTTCCGTCTGCCTCCTGTCTTATAGGCGGTGGGAGGGTCCCAGGACTCTCCTGCTCCTCCTCTGAGCAGTCAGGGTCCCCGGGCTGCTGTCTAGAAGCAGGCCAGTGAGACCGGAGGCTACAGGCAAACCATCAGCAGGAGTTTGTTTTGGCTGCACACTGGTGTGTTTCAGAGGAAATCCATCCTAGAACACAACTTGCATCAGCCTTGGTTCCTGACAGTGTTCGGTGACCTCAGAGGCCACAGAGACCTCGTATCCCCCTCGGCGTGCGTTTCTAAGAACACAATGACTTGGACACTGACTTGGTATGAAAACGGAGCTCTTCAACAAAAGGCTGAGTCGCTTCACAGTGAACTGAGTCTTTTTAGGAAGACAGTCATTTTTTTTTCATTTAAAACTCCCTCAGTGTAGGTCAAATTTACAGTCATATAACCACAAAAATAGTTATCCTGTAATTTGTAACTTTACTCAGATAATGTGCAGTAACGCAGCCCTCTGACGGGAGTATTTTTTCTTTCTTTCATTGAACATGGTCAGGGCCAAAAATAGATCCTGCAGGGGGCAGTCATACACCTAGGGTAGCACCAAATGCTGTTTAATGGCAACAAACAAATGGCTTTTAATGGGGTAGAGGCAGAGGCGGCCAACAGTGACTGTTGTAAATACATCCAAAAAAATATATTGCTTTGCCTATCCATCCATCCATCCATCCATCCATCCATCCATCCATCCATCATCCATCATCCATCATCCATCTAAAATGACACTCTTGCTCCTACGTTACGTAAACTTTTCCCCCGTCTTCATTCCTATATGATGTTTATTAGCTTCGATCTGTAACATTAGTCTTATTTCCAAGAAACTGGCCTGACCCAAACATTTTTGGATTCCTGCTTAATATGTACAGTGGTTGAAGGTCGATAACCTGTATAAAAGTGAGCTATGAAGACTGTAATCCTCAGTACATTAATGAAAACTCTAAACCCAACTGCCGTTACTGGTATGCATCTCCTGTGTAGATTGGCAGCCACACGCTGCTGCTGCTGCTGCTGCTGCTGCTGAAAACTAATAGCACAATGAATAATCTGTCAGAGTTACACAACGTTATAGTCAGCATTCATCACTGCCTCTCACTTTCTCTCTTCCTCTCTCTCGCCTTTATCATTTTTCCTCTCCCCGTCCGTTCTTCTCTCTTCCCTGTGTTTTACTACCTCCCGGGCCACAGTACAGTAGTACTGTTTATGCTGTGGTACCGATTGTATGAATGGCAGCCAATGTTGGTTGCAGTTGTTTATTACCGTGCATAAAGAAAGAAACTTGGGCCAAATTTAAACTGCCAGAGGGGGGAGTCTATAGGTGAGGATTAAACCACTGTCTAAATACCATAATAAAAACACAGCATGGGTCAAATTTGATCCTCCTTCATAATGTAAAGGCCTCGGCTCTGGCTTTTAGTGGTTCACTTAAAAATGAAATTCAATATAAAAAATGATGAGGCAACATTTGCTGCTGCTGCTCCGATGTCTGAGCCACCGCACGGGTCTGGTGCTCTCAGACTGGACTGGATCAGATAAATCTACGTGAACTGAAGTGGCCGCGTTCAATCTTCTCAACATATTCTTAACAAATGAAATACACGATTGAGGTCTCGTCTTACTGTTTTGGCTGGGGTGGGTAATGAAGTGCAGATCCTGGACGGAGGAGGAAAAAAGTCCATATCCTGTCGGTGGACGCCTAATGTGTTTTGTAAAGAGTTGCCTGGTTTTTAGCCTTAAACCGGGGGGGAGAAAAAAAAGCCTGGATCTACTTGACAAATTTCTGTCTTGTGCGTCTGATACACAGCCAGGATCTACACCACATTATGTCTAACTGTTCTTGTGCCACCAGTTGTCCCTGTCCCTCAGCAGTGAACTTCACTGCAGGTCACCTCCACGCACCTGAACCTCACCTCAGTAATGGCCCAGATTCAGTGGCAGATAATGTTGTTGTTATTCTTTCTTTCTTTTTCCCCCAAAGTCCTGCAAGTAATAAAAGCCCACAGGACGGCAGACCAAAAATAACAGAATTACTCAGTGAAAACCTTGTCTTCAGACGGCCAGCGCTGCAGTGCGATCCAGTAGCTCCTGCTTTAGCACGGTATAAAAATCATAACAGCATGTGGTTAACGATGGACTCTGGAGCTGCTTCTGAGTGTGAGAATGTTATTGTAATGTGAATATGACAAATAAACATCTATTAAAATATTGTAGTTTAGTGGACAGACCGGCCAGGGCTCCAACAGACTGAGAACCAGGGAGCAGAAATAAAGGAGAGGAGGCATTAGAACACCGTGAAAAGGCTGTTCTACTGAGCTGTGGCAGATTTAACAAGTGGAGACACAAATGTGAACACAGCTATCTGATGTAGTTCTTTCACATAAATAGTCAGCTCCTCTGTAGGTGGAGGTTTCTTTACCTACATCTTTGTTGTCACATTACAGCAGTGCAATGGAAAAAGCTGTTTTTCCTCTGAAAGTTGGAAGTTTTCTTCTGCATTTGTGCAGAGTTGTTTGTCAAATTGTCACGGTAAATAAATATGAGGTGTTTGTGGAACCTCCTAGAAGTTAGAGTGCCACTAAAGTCTGTCCATGGGAAGCTGAAACTAACCCCAGATGACACTGGGCAAAAGGCACACAAGCTGTAGGGGTCACCAGTCAGTCACAGGGGCCAAATTTCAAAGACAAACAACCATTAACTCTGACGTTTCACACCTACACTTCAGTGAAAGGGCAATTGATGAAGCCTGGGAATTTATTTGAACTTTTTATACAGACCATGAAAAAATTTAAAAAAAGATCAAATATCACCACCCTAACACTAAAAAGGTGTTAAACAGCTAATGGAACAGAAAGTGAGCGGAGCTTTAAGACCAATAGCACATTTCAATTGAAAACATTTCTACTCCTGCTTTCAGGTCGATGGAATGTCACGTTAGCTTAGACTGAATCACAGACCATTACCTAAAAGTATTATTGTTAAAAAAAATTATATATATATA